AAAAAAAAAAAAAGCTAAAACAGGGACAGCACGTGTCATGAGAAAACAAGATGGTCAATGAGAAAAAACAGAGACTATGTTTTTCAGTTTGCTGAATCCTGAAATAAACCCAGTGAAACTCTGCCTAAAACTAAAATCAAATGTGATGAAAGAGCAGTTTATTGGTTTGAATTTAAAAGGTATGTGTGTGGGGGGCTGGGGGGCTAGAGTTGTGGCTCAGGGGTAAAGCACTTGCCTAGCTTGTGTGAAGCACTGGTTTTGATCCTCAGCACCAGATTAAAATAAATAAATAAAGGTACTGTGTTCATCTACAACTAAAAAAAATTTTTAAAAATGTGTGTATTTCTATGCTTTCATAATTGAATGCACACACATATATATATACTATACTTAATACACATAGATACGTGTATTAAAATATGTGTATATATGTATATATATATATATGTGTGTATATATATATATATATGTATATATACATATATATATATAAATTTAAGAACTAATCATTTACTTCATTTTTCAATAATCTATTACTGATTTGTGAAATGGCATGTTCATATTTTCTTTGTTACTGAAGGGGTGATAATTACTTTTTTTGTAGTCTCAGACAATGGTTCATAGGACCACCAGAGGGCAGCAGATAATGCTATTTGGAATCAAATTTCAGAAAGAACAGGTTTTCTGATAGGAAAGTTCACCATCTTAACTGTCAACTGTCATTTCCTGTGTGCAGATTTGAATTCACTCCTAACTCCCCAATGAGTTCAAAAATAATTATTTCCACCCATTATGTCCATTTGTGTTACATCAAATCCATTCACACAACTTGTTCAGAAACTGCAACCAAATAGTTATAGCTAATTCTGAAGGAAGTTGTATAAATTTTCCAGAAAAAGTAACCTATAACAGAAGTAGTAGATCTGTACAGTATTATTATAAGCAAACTAAGTTGCTGATAGCTCATATCTGCTATCAAATGCCAATAAAAATTTACTGCTCATTTACAAGAATAAAATTTAAAAATTCCCCTATTTTACATTACAAAAATTGCATTTCTAGTTCTTACTATTTCTACTATATTGAAGAGAAGAAATGTAGTAAGATAAACAAAACAAAACAATGGACAGGATGCAAGATTCTGAATTCAATGTGGCAAGGCCAGACCTGAGTCTTTTAACTCCTTATCACTCAGTTTCCTAATCTGTAAAGATATTTCCAGTCCAGATAGTATGTAGAGTTAATTGTTGCTCCAAAATTCCGTTTTTGTATGTAGGGGTTGAGGGTGGGCAGTAAAAATGACAGTGCACCTTGAATTTGGTGCACTATGACTTTGGTCTGACCCTTTCATAATAAAATCTTAAGTTTTGACTATCCTAATTTTAGCAGTCTTGGAATACCGAGTAGATCTACTGAAAGGTTTGAAAGCCAGCTTCTAAGAAATAAACAAAATAAACAAATCTGGTGAGGACTTTGTATTCAAGCTAAAGTCAGAATGACTAGATTAGTGTATGAGTATTAATATAGGAGTTTTTGCTAAAAGTGTATCCTGATATTGACCTAATTATGTTACCTAAGTTCAAATTCTTTAATGAAGGCTTGTGGTTTTTATTATATAGAAAGGTAAAATGTCCTTTTATTCAATCATTCTTTTCCAGTCCACATGGTGTATGTGGTACAGCCTATATCCCAGACAGAGATCAAGTATTCAAATTTTAGTCATCCTTCTGAATTGGAAACTACCTCTTAAAAATTGGGGATGGGAAGTGTCAGTGAGTGTTACATAAAGGTTGGGCATCGTCACTTCTATGATTAATGAAATAGAATGCTTATTTTGGAGAGTGATGACTAAAGTTGCCTACCAAACAGTTTTGAGTCATTGGGGGAAAAGTCAAGTACTAACTCACAAAACACATCCCTGATAAAGATGCATAAATCCTGTTCCTTTTGTGGCTTTATTCATCACATGAATACACTTCAATAGAATTCACATATAGCCATAGAGAAAATATAATCATAAAGTTTGGACAACAGCACACCTAACATTGTACATCTAAGTTTGAATGTATTAGCACAAATAACACAGCTGAAGAGAGTTCCTTTATTTTTATGCAAAAATCATTACAGGGACATGGAACTTGTGGCCCATGAGATGTTTGTGCCCTGGAATCTGAGAGAAGGTGAGAATAAGACCTGAAGAAAACAATTATTAGGG